GTATTTGGTGTATTGATTTACTATATTTCTATGAAGGCCGAATAGGCTTTGTCCAAGTTGCTGTTCACATGGAAAGATTATTTGCCATTCTTGGAGTCCTAAAATTTATAGTGGTGTATTGAGTTGATTATGTATTTCAGTGTATGCCATGTTATAATTTTGGTTAAAGTATATAGAAATATTTAAAAGAGACATCATTTAATTATGATCTGCAGTTATTGTGGGAAAAGTGATAATAGTTGTGGTATGTATTATACAAGGTATGAGTAGTAAGCACTTTTAATGTGATGCTATATGCTATTTAGAAATGAAAATAAACTAGACTTATCCTAGAAATTCAAGAAAAAAAAGAAAAAAAACCATGCATTGCATTAGGCTATTGTTTTATGTTTTACATCAAATAGACTTTATATTTTATTTATAGCAACAGTATTAACACCTTGGATAAAAGTGACGTGATCATCACATCATGAAAAAATTGGGTCAAGGGATGGGTGGTGATGTGAACATGCCATCATGGGAAAATCTGGCTGTAGGCTGGGTGATGCAAACCTGCCGTCATAAGCGTAGCGGCTGGAGGCTGGACTGATGGAAAAGACTCGCCACAAGTGCACAAACCTATTGGGAGGTTTATTTTACTCATTTGGCAATTTTGCACTCTTCCCATCAATGTGTGAGTGTGAAATGAAATGTCCGTGAGTGGTGACAGGAAGAGGTCCAGCTCCATGGAGGACACCATTTCCATGCTCAGCATCATATTCCTGGCACGATGAGCAGTAACACGGGTTGTTTTACAGAAAATTGAATATTACATAAAGATAAATAAATTGACACAAATAACATGCACTTAGTAGTAGACTACCTTGAGTGAAGATTGAAGTCTGTGCAAAGATAATCTGGATAATGGTAAATATGGACATTGGAAGAAAATGGCCAAAAAGTTAAATCACTTATGCACCAAAAGGAGGCACAGAGTCGTGCTACCACATACACGTGTGCCCAGCCTACAAGTAGCCACCTGGCAGAGCAGCCCAGATACAGATAGTCCCCTACTTAGGAACATTCCATACATACAAACAAAATTTTTTAAGTACTAAAGTCCAAAAAATTGTTTGAAAGATGCTAGCAAACTTCAGATATCCTGGGCGCAAATATAGTTCAAGAGTCTGTTACTGTATAAGGTATGTCGAACCTATTGGGATTTATTTGTAAACAAAACTTTAAAACAATGGGAAAAAAGGTAATAGAGACCCGACTTTCGACATACAAACAAATCAACTTACAAACAGCCTCTCGCTCCCCATTATGTTCTGAAGTTGGGGACTTACTGTATTTGGCGATTTGATTGCCATGACACAACCAGATCCAATGGGTTTAGTATATATACAAAAGATTTTACCAAAATGCTTCAGACATGGCCAGACATCAATACTAATTCTTATCTTAGTAGTGTAAAGAATTTTGGTGAAACTCTTTGTGGTTTTGTGGATTGTAACTCTGTTCTCGCTGTCCATAACCTCTTTATAATATTTTATTATGTAGAGGATAGGTACAGCATAAAGATATCAGTATCAATAGAAATAATTTGATATACGGATGGAAAGGTTAGAGAAAGACCTCATAGAAACTTCTATGGGGCTCAAAATAGCCTTTTTCTCTTCACCCTTACTAACAGATGGTAGCAATACTCCAGGGAGTGGAAACAGTAATGGAAGCAGCAGTGGAGCTCCAGCCTCAGGAGGAAGCATGAGCAGCAGCAGTAGTGGTAGCAACTCTGCTCAGCCTGCAGCAGTTGGGGTCCAGGAGGAACCCCTTCCCCATGGGTAAGTTGCAAACAATAATTATTTTACTTGTTTTTAAAATTTTCATTGTTATTTATTATTATTATTATTATTATTATTTTTTTTTTTCATATAAAGATTTTGTTAAAGTTGTCACAGTCCATAATCACGATATTTTTACCTCAGATGGGAGATGCGTCATGACCAGTATGGGCGTCGCTACTACGTAGATCACACAACCCGCTCCACTACATGGGAGAGACCAAAGCCCTTACCTGCAGGCTGGGAGGCACGTCGCGATCCAAGGGGAAGAGTTTATTATGTTGATCATAACACCAGAACGACTACATGGCAGCGGCCAACAGTAGAACATATTAGGTAAGGAGGGTTCTCTCTCTCTCTCTCTCTCTCTCTCTCTCTCTCTCTCTCTCTCTCTCTCTCTCTCTCTCTCTCTCTCTCTCTCTCTCTCTCTCTCTCTCTCTCTCTCTCTCTGTCTCTCTCTGTCTCTCTCTGTCTCTCTCTGTCTCTCTCTGTCTCTCTCTCTCCCTCTCTTTGTCTCTCTGTCTCTCTCTTTCTCTCTCTCTATTTGTGAAGTTTGTATATTTCCACTTTTATTGCTCACATTTTAACATTTTCATTCACTAATTTTTTTTCCCCCTTTCATTCCAATAGGCAATTTGAAGAATGGCAAGGGGAGCGACAACACATTGCTCAGCTCAGTGCACAGAGGTTCCTGTATCCCAACACCAACCAAGAGACTGAGAATGATCCTCTGGGCCCACTGCCACCTGTGAGTTTTAGTAACAGATGGGGGACGGGAGGTAAATGGGGATGGATAGGAAGAGAAGTCGAGATGGGGATAGATTAACGGGGGTTTAGAGAGATGCAGCAAGAAGGGAATGGAGAGAGATGCAGTGAGAGGTATATGAAAATGGAAAGTGATTGGGAGAGGTAAGGAGGGTCAAGAAAGATGCAGCTAGATGTAAATGGCAATGGAGAGACCTGGGAAGAGAGGTAGATAGAGATTGAGAGAGATACTAGGGGGTGGAGAGAAATGCAGGGAGAGGTAGAGGCAGATGGAGAAAGATGGTGGAGGAAAAAGAGAGAATGGGAGAGAGAGAGAAAGAAAAAAAAGTGAAAAAAAAGAAAAAGTGAAAATGAGAGATTGAACAATGAAGAGGAAAGGAGAAAAAAGAAGTGGTTAGAGAAAGAGAGAGTAAAAGAGGAAAGAAATATAAGCATAGTGATACTTTGCATTGTGTATTTTCCAAAAATGAAAATATTTGTGATATAATTTTAACTATTTTGTCTTTTGTCATATTTACCTTAATCTATATGTTTTATGTGACCAGGGTTGGGAGAAGCGGCAGGAGCCCAATGGTAGAATTTACTTTGTCAACCACCGCAACAGAACAACTCAGTGGGATGATCCAAGGACACAAGGGTAAGACTTGTTTCTGAAGGAATGCGTGCTGTTTTCTTGTATATATGTAACATTTATTATTTTGTTTTTTTTATTTAGTTTGTCATTGCCTGTTTCTTTTTCCCTCCCCCCTCCTCTTATTTGCCTTTTTACTTTAGGAATCCAATTATTGTTTAGAGAATACTTTGAATTTACAGAATGGGACTTGAGGAGGAGGCCCTTCCAGCTGGCTGGGAGATGCGACTTACAGATGATGGTCGCCAGTACTTTGTGGACCACAACACCCGCCAGACAACTTTCCAGGATCCTCGTCCAGGAGCCAAGCAAATGTAGGATTCATTTATATAAAGATTTGTTTAGAACTGATTAGAATTGTTAGCATTATCTGATGGCACAGGATCTAATGTATGAATACATGATATGCTGCATAAAGTAATGTGTACATATATATATATATATATATATATATATATATATATATATATATATATATATATATATATATATATATATATATATATATATATATATAAAAATCTATATCTATATCTATATCTATATCTATATCTATATCTATATCTATATCTATATCTATATCTATATCTATATCTATATCTATATCTATATCTATATCTATATATATATATATATATATATATATATATATATATATATATATATATATATATATATATATATATATATACACACATATATATATATATATATATATATATATACATATATACATATATATATATATATATACATATATATATATATATATACATATATATATATATATATATATATATATATATATATATATATATATATATATATATATATATATATATATATATATATATATATATATATATATAAACAAAGAATACAAAAATCCCCATTTTGTGTTAAGTATTGGATGTCTGTATTTTCTTTAAATATTTTTCTTCACTTTTTACACTTGAAGTACTTCATCAAGTGATGAAACAATAATTTGTTGTAACCTGGTTTACAATGCGACGTCTGTCTCCACTTTTTAGTAGTTGTTTTTCTTCGTTATCTTCTTCTTCTTAATAACTCTTCATATTTTTGTTAACAGTGCCAACAGAGGACAGTATGGGATCCCTGTTGTTTACGAAAGATCCTTCAGGTGGAAATTGGGACAATTCCGATACTTGTGTCAAAGGTAAGTTCTAAAAGCAATTTCATAAATCCGTTACACTAATTCTCCATTTTGAAGGAACTACTTATTTATTTTATTTATTTATTTATTTTTTTTTTTTTTTTACAGTCTGTTGAGAGATGTTATAGCAAGGCACACATGACTCAGATATCATACTAATGTAACTTACACCCATTGAATCATTCAGGCAGATCAGAACTCAAATATAGTTCTGGGAATGGCTGTATAATTTATCTTAAAGGTAATAGTATGACTTGTATCCTTCCAGTAATACTGTTGCTGGCCACATCAAGATTAGTGTAACCCGGCAGACGCTCTTTGAAGATTCTTTCCATCAAGTAATGAGACTCCCAGCCTTCGAGTTACGTAGACGCCTCTTCATCATCTTCAGAGGAGAGGAGGGACTTGATTACGGTGGTATTGCAAGGTAAGCCATTGAATGAAGCAGTGTTGCATGAATATATATGCTGACAAATAATATGTAATTTGTTGTAGATTGTGTATTTATAATGTACTAGTATTTTGGAGATGAAATTAAGCTTTGTCATCTTGTCTGTGTTTGATTTGTTAACCAATTTTCCTTTGCAGAGAGTGGTTCTTCCAGCTCTCCCACGAGGTGCTCAACCCTATGTACTGCCTATTTGAGTACGCCAACAAAAACAATTACTCTCTCCAGATCAACCCAGCCTCTGAAGTCAACCCTGATCATTTAACATATTTCAAATTTATTGGAAGGTTTATAGCTATGGTGAGTAAGGATTGACCCCCCAGTAAAGCTTCCCTTATCCAAACTGCCTTATTTGTCTTCAGTAAAATGGTAATTATATTTACAATAGAGGTTTGCTGAGAGTAAATTGTGTCATCAATGTCATAACTATGAAAAGACAGTAGATGGAGAAGGAGAATTAAATAGAAATGAAAGGAAAAACATGGTAAATGTAACAGTTATACAAAGTTTTTTTTTTTTTTTAATAATAGGATAGATTAGGATATGTTATTAGTTTATTGAGGCTAAGTACATGCATTGTCCACTATATATCTTTTCATTTTTTATCATTTTTACTTTCTTTACACATAGATTGTTCTACAAGTCACCAAGGTGTTTGTTAACATCTACCTGAGCTAACCAGTTATCCTGATTCCCTGAATTTTCTTGAAATTATCTTTTGTATTTAACATTATTATTAATCTTTATATTACTATAAATATAGGAATAATAGCAATAGAAATATAAACATTATTTTGCTAAATTTCAAGAAATCAGGTACACTGGTGTTCTCACAGAGGCTGATTAATTGACTCTTTGGCAACTGAGCCCTCATATTGGATAAAGCATGTACATGTGCACTCCTGGCACCAATAAGTAAAGGACATATTAAGGATATTTCTCTGTCCATCAAAATATGTTGAGAGTTGTTTTTGTAAGTCAAATTTGATATTCAATAGCTCTTAGGTCTACTTCATAAGAATAAGGTTTAAGACAGATTCTCCTTTGTCACCAGTTTATTTTGTTGGGCAGTGAAAGTGATGTTGGAAGTGTAGTATGTGACTCTGTGTCTTCAGTTATACATTTGTATATTTGCCAAGTGAAATAACTTTTTAAGATAATGAAAAGAGATTACTGAGTGTTTTACTTTCAGATAACTAGTGTAGAAATGCTACTGTCCTATCATTTATTTTAGCTTAATGTTTAGAGTTTTATAAATTATGTGATAGCGTCTTTACTAACTGAACATTTTTTTCTTTCCAGGCCCTGTATCATGGAAAGTTCATTTATTCTGGTTTTACCATGCCTTTCTATAAACGAATGTTGAACAAGAAACTTACCATGAAGGACCTGGAGTCCATTGATCCAGAGTTCTATAATTCACTTGTGTGGATTAGGGATAACAACATTGAGGTGGGTGTAGTTTGTGTTGATATGTTTGCCATGACTTTCTGGTTTTATTGTTAATTGATTATTGGACTTCATACAATATTGAATTTTTTTATTTGCCTCACTCTCCCTTGCTTGCTGTTGCATTTTTTCTTCTTTCTTTTTTCTTTCTTTGTTATTGATTTTAGTTTTTATAGTGGACTTTATTTATAAAGGTTCAGTCATGAGTAAAAAAAATTAAATCATTGTTTTGTTCCACTTACACCTTACATGTAATGTTCATCTTGCATACATCTAGCAGACAGTTGTAATCATAATAGAAATGAAGTTGTGTTGTATGGGACAGTCTTGTAAAAATGGATATTGTATTTTGTTTTATTATATAAATGTAGTTGTCATCCCAGTAGTAACTGTGAAATCATTTTCCATCCTTTATATCAGAAGTAAAGATACAAACATAATGATTCATTTCATTTCTAGGAGTGTTGCCTTGAGATGACCTTCTGCACTGATTTTGAAGTTCTGGGGAAGATCACTGAAGTAGAGCTGAAGCCTGGTGGAAAAGATATCCAAGTGACAGAGGAGAATAAGGAAGAATATATTGAGTAAGTTTCCAGTTTTATATTCTTAGTCATGGTACATATATCTATAGACAGAAAAGTCAGTGTGATAATATATGTGTATATTATGTAGTAATAATTAGATCAAGCAGTTTAAGCTTTGTATGTGTGTGATGAGATGTGATTATCATAATAATTAATTGGTTATTTAAGCATCTCACGATTTATCTGTGTGATAACATATATATTTTAGTGTAGGAATTATTAGGATATGCAGTTTAAGCATCCTCAAATTTATTGTTCTACTCAACAAAATAACACTTTCTTATCAATACAGCCTCATGATGCAGTGGCGTCTCACTCGAGGCCAAGAAGCACAGACGAGGCATTTCCTGGAAGGATTTTCGGAAGTGGTGCCACTGGAGTGGTTGAAGTATTTTGATGAACGAGAATTGGAGTTGTTGCTGTGTGGAATGCAAGAGATAGACATTTGTGATTGGCAGAAGCATACTATATACCGCCACTATAACCGATCTTCAAAACAAATTATGTGGTTCTGGCAGGTGAGAATGAGTGACATTTGGGCAGTTAAAGGTTTATATATGTATTTTTCCATTTAAAGGGATATGTGGCTGTTTGTTCTAGGTCACTGATATAGCAGACTTAAGTCTTTAATAGTAGAGGTGTATGTAAACTCAATGCCATAGAGTGTGTTTCACCAAACTCACTTCTGGGGCAAACAATTGTCCTCAGCAGAATTGCTCTAGGGGACTTTAATATGGTATCTGGCTGCGGACAAGCTGGCTACAGACAGTGAGAATATCCTCCTGATGCTCGTCCCAGAGATTCAGGAATTTTGACTCCTGGTACCAACCCATTTCACTGGACTTAGTGCAGCAATACAGTTTTCTGATAAATTCACAGCATTCGACAACTTGGAGGTTGCATCAGCCACCATAGCCACCCTTCCTGAAAAATTATGTGGAGCGTGTGTTGTGTGCAGGTTGGATGGCCACGGTGGCTGCCACAGCACCCCCCTTCCTGTACCCACACACCCATGGCTACCCAGACTTCACACAACTCATGCTCTGTATAATTCCCAAGTTGGGTGGCCACGGTGGCTGCTACAGGACCCTATGGCTCTATAGGATACCATCATCATGAAACACTTTTTGGAGTCCATTGACAACTATCCAAGAATAAGGCAGAACTTTATCTTGTAGGACACTAGAAGCCATGAGTGTGGCTTGCTGGGACCTTATTTTATTTATGTATTTATATATTTTTATTTATTTATTTATTATTTTTTCTTTTTGATGGGGGTGGAATGTTTGCATTGTGAAATACTTTTAGGCCTTTTTAAAAAAGTTTACATAAACTACATTTAGCTGTTGTTTTCTGAAATTTCAAAATCAGGCTCCAACACGCCTTTTGCATTCAGATGCTCTTGTGAATGCAATTGACCAATTTCAAGGGGAATGAAAAAAGCAAATGCTGGACTGTGCCACAACTGAAGTAAATAAAGAACTGTGAATAGGCCACTGGAAATTTAGATACTACACAGAGTTCATTATCTTAATATTTTTTCACTAGATATAATGAGGGCAGTCAGAGTTGTTGCTTTCAGTAGGGACCATATTAGGTAAAGTTACCGTTTTTTCTTTTCTTTTCTTTTCTTCTCTTCTCTTCTTTTTCTTCTTCTCTTTTCTTTTTGGATATGAAAGTAGATGTTCCGGTCCAAAATGTTTAATATGTGTATCAAATCTTAAAGAAAACTGATCTAAACCAAAAAATAATGATTTTTTTCTTCTTCTTCTTCTTCTTCTTTTTTCTCTTCTTATGGAGCACTGCAGATGGTAATAGCAGTATAATATTATGATAATTATATAATCCTAGCAAGAATACAACATAGTAGTTCACTATTGAGAATTGTAGAAGCACATATATTAGATAAATAGAGTGTTACTGAAGTTGTTGAATCTTTCCCATACTCCAGACAGTGATGGTGGGGAGTTGGTCACTTGGTGATTATAATTTCTGAGGTGCTTTATAAATATGTAAACACACACACATAAGGTTAATGTTTGAATTAGCCTCATTTAACCCCTTAAAGGTTAAATGACAGCTGTACCATGTGTATAGCTGTCATAACAAACTGCTTGATCTGTGGTTACGGCTATACACGTGATGACATGCTAGATCACATCAAGCGGGAAGTTCCAGTACATGTTGTGGACTCCCACACCTAGCGGCTGGACAGTTGCCACAAATCACTGGAGTCTATGACACCAAGAGATTTATCACTGAGGGATTAATAGGACTGAACCCATTTTTTTGTAAAGGAAATGTTAGTTACCCCTTAGTTCAATATGGTTTTCTTTGGATGAATTTAAAAGATAGTCATTGGGTATGGGGAACCACATTATCTTTGCAAATAATTTGATGAAAATTAGATGCCAAGATGGAGTGGGTCATATTTATGCCATGTACGTGCAATGGTAGGGTGCATTTTTTACCAGAAATGCATGTAAAAGTTGCTATACCTGTTTCAACTTCTGTTTTTTTATTTTTTTTCATTTATTTTTTTCGCATAAGTTTTTGTAATATAATCTGTGTCGCCACTCACAGCACCAGGAATACGATGCTGAGCATGGAAATGGTGTCCTCCATGGAGCTGGTGCTCTTCCAGTCACCACTCATGGACATTTCATTCCCTACTCATACATTGATGAGAATTATGCAAAATTGCCAAATGAGTAAAATAAACATCCCAATAGGTTTGTGCACTTGGGGCAAGTCTTTTTCCATCATCCTGGCCTTCAGATGCAATGTTGATGATGGCAGGTTTGTGTCACCTAGCCTACAGCCAGATTTTCCTTGCCCCTCAAGCCAGATTTTTTCATGACGTGATGGTCATATCACCCGGATCCAATGGGTTAACGTAGCAGTGTGTCATGAGCAAGCGTATTTGGAAATGATAGTATCTGTGTAGGAGCAAGTCATATGTCTTCAAGATCCTGAAACTTGGACTTAATCCATTGTGTTAATCTCATCATGCCTTTAGCTACATGTGGTTGTTCCAGATCATGAGGTACAGTTAGCAGGACCATGTATCCAACCAAAGATTACACTGTAAATCCAGGACCTATTACTACCATAATCCAGGTTTGCCAACTCAGGCTATATGTACATGACTCCCAAATGATGTTCCTGCCCACCAGCTTGTCTTCTTTAGAGGCAACCTGGTTGTTAATGGCCCTTGGGATGACCTTGGATATTGTGGCTTGGGCAAATTGACTAGATCTGTTGTGAAGAAGTAGAGATAGGCCATGGACCAAGAAGGGCCCTCATGGCTGGAGCAAAGGGTGGGTGTGGTAAATCACCCCCTTCAACATTAACCCTCACTTATTCATTGATTAGTATCCATTGTATTATGTAATTTCTTTGCTATGTTGAAAGCTTTTGGTTGAATTAGTTATTGATAGAATTTAACCTGATTTTTCTTTCTTTAGTTTGTGAGAGAGATTGACAATGAGAAGAGGGCACGTCTACTACAGTTTGTCACTGGAACCTGCCGCGTGCCAGTAGGAGGCTTTGCAGAACTTATGGGTATGTGACTGTTATTTTTTGGGTATGATCATGTTAACAGTGGTTGATGTGGAAAAAAAAGAAATAAAGAAAAAATATTGAAACATTCAGGACACATTAAAAGATGAATGTGTAAAATTCTTTGAAAATGCATGGCATCCTGTGGTCATGACCATACGATACCATGCATTTAAAATATTGTACAGTCTTTATAATAGGCAGTAAGAAAATGCTGTCATATATGGATTTGTGTAGGACAACCAAATGCAGGTATAACTTTTGCCTCTAAAAAATCATTATACTTCATGCAATACCACTGGTGCATAACAGCTTATGTTTTCATGTTGCAAAAATCTTGCCACTTTACCCTCTTGATATCTATCACATAAATATGCATGTTAAACATTTTTTTGAATTACAAATAGAATGATATGTATGATGTTTTAAATACATAGCATCATGTGGTTGCAACATCACATAACAACATACATTTTTTAAGAGTACTACATATTCATTATAAAGTATATCCTGAAAACTGCAAATCTTAAGTGCTGATTTTTTTCCCCCACATTGGCCATGATATGAGTGTACCCTTTAATTTTGTTCCCAAATTATTTTGTTTGTTCTATTTTCAATTTTAGGAATAAAGCAAGGTATTATAATAGTAAAAAAAAGGAACAAGGAAAAAAAATATGTATATATATTTCTCCTCGTCTTCTTTCCCTATATATTATGAATATATTTGTAGTTTGTAGTATGGATATATGATGCCACACTTATTTATAAAGTCATATAAATAATTTTGTACATTTTAACGTTTACTTAGTGAGTAGTGATTTTTCAGGGCACAACAGCTGTTATCATTGTAAAAGTTGTGAAAGTTGGCATCTCCCAGGAGCACCAGTTAGTTGATGAACACACTCCCTGCCATAAGGCTAATTATGAAAAACTATTTGAAATGTCATTTTGCACTGACACTCTCCAAACATTAACAAGAGAAAATAATCATGAATACACATCCCAACTCAGTATTTTAGTCAAATCACAGTTTATAGTTCTTCTGTCATGCAGATCATAAAGTCTTGTTCAAAGCCATAACCAAGGACGACTTTTTTTTTTTTTTTTTTTTCATCATTTTAGCCAAGCCCAGGGCTTTTGGATGATAATGTAACTGCCCATTGACATTTAAGAAATTTCTTTAATGCTGGGTAAAGATAAATCAAGGTTTGACTCTTCTGGTTCCAGAGTCAGAATAGCTACGAGATTGCTTTTGATATTATTAACCTTTTTATCACTTTTGTAGGGAGCAATGGGCCACAGAAATTCTGCATTGAGAAGGTGGGTAAAGAGACATGGCTTCCTCGGTCCCACACTTGCTTCAATCGGTTAGACCTCCCACCCTACAAGTCCTATGAGCAGTTAGTTGAAAAACTCACCTTCGCCATTGAGGAAACCGAAGGCTTCGGCCAAGAGTAGAACATGGGGACCAAATTATGTGTTGAGAAATAATGGAAATAAGGATTTCATGTAAGTGATAGTATATCATAAGGTTTTCTGTTTGATTGGTTGATTATGCATACAGAAGTAGGGCCATTCTGGAGTTTAGCAATTCAAAGAAAACCCAATATTGTATCAAGGTTGTGTTTGTAGTTTTGCTGGCAGTGTTAAAAGGCATTTGTAAGTAGCTTAGGCCAGTTTTATGTTATATTATTAAATAGATTAGTCATAATACACTTATCTTTGTTATATTTTTGGTAAAGAAATGATTTATTGTAAACAGACTACAAGAAATAGCATTTTAGGGTTAAGCAGAAGTGATTTATATATCCAGAGGACAAAAGGTTAATGATGTGAGTGTACAAAAGTAATGTAGGTGACATACTATCATTTTTGTGAAAAAAATAAAAGATGTAAAATAATGAAACTATAACAAGTTTGTATTTAACCATAGTTTGTTTTCATAATTTGTGGTTCTTTTTATGTTATTTTTGATGGCTTTTAATCATGATGATCGTAATATTTCCCAAGTGGATACACTACGTGTTTTAGTAAAGAAGTGAACAAATATAGCAAAGCAAATTCACCTTCTTTTTGTTTTTCTGATTACCGTCTTACCGCATAAATAACATCTTTGAAAATTGTCTTTAAAATGTTTTACTCAGCAATGGTGACTGCCATGTGACATTAAGATGGAAAGTCTTAATGCATTAACTTTATCTTCTCCAAAATATATTCTACTCAGAGTTGAGTATAAATTGAATCATAGGTCACAGCTTAAAAATGAGGAGTTCATCAATTCACATACTCATCATGCTTACTAGTCGCGAATTTTTTAAATGGCCTATGATCATTCCTTTGGGACTGTTGTGTTTCCTGTGTATTTAGACAAAGACACATGTGTGTGTGTGTGTGTGTGTGTGTGTGTGTGTGTGTGTGTGTGTGTGTGTGTGTGTGTGTGTGTGTGTGTGTGTGTGTGTGTGTGTGTGTGTGTGTGTGTGTGTGTGTGTGTGTGTGTGTGTGTGTGTGTGTGTGTGTGTGTGTGTGTGTGTGTGTGTGTGTGTGTGTGTGTGTGTGTGTGTGTGTGTGTGTGTGTGTGTGTGTGTGTGTGTGTGTGTGTGTGTGTGTGTGTGTGTGTGTGTGTGTGTGTGTGTGTGTGTGTGTGTGTGTGTGTGTGTGTGTGTGTGTGTGTGTGTGTGTGTGTGTGTGTGTGTGTGTGTGTGTGTGTGTGTGTGTGTGTGTGTGTGTGTGTGTGTGTGTGTGTGTGTGTGTGTGTGTGTGTGTGTGTGTGTGTGTGTGTGTGTGTGTGTGTGTGTGTGTGTGTGTGTGTGTGTGTGTGTGTGTGTGTGTGTGTGTGTGTGTGTGTGTGTGTGTGTGTGTGTGTGTGTGTGTGTGTGTGTGTGTGTGTGTGTGTGTGTGTGTGTGTGTGTGTGTGTGTGTGTGTGTGTGTGTGTGTGTGTGTGTGTGTGTGTGTGTGTGTGTGTGTGTGTGTGTGTGTGTGTGTGTGTGTGTGTGTGTGTGTGTGTGTGTGTGTGTGTGTGTGTGTGTGTGTGTGTGTGTGTGTGTGTGTGTGTGTGTGTGTGTGTGTGTGTGTGTGTGTGTGTGTGTGTGTGTGTGTGTGTGTGTGTGTGTGTGTGTGTGTGTGTGTGTGTGTGTGTGTGTGTGTGTGTGTGTGTGTGTGTGTGTGTGTGTGTGTGTGTGTGTGTGTGTGTGTGTGTGTGTGTGTGTGTGTGTGTGTGTGTGTGTGTGTGTGTGTGTGTGTGTGTGTGTGTGTGTGTGTGTGTGTGTGTGTGTGTGTGTGTGTGTGTGTGTGTGTGTGTGTGTGTGTGTGTGTGTGTGTGTGTGTGTGTGTGTGTGTGTGTGTGTGTGTGTGTGTGTGTGTGTGTGTGTGTGTGTGTGTGTGTGTGTGTGTGTGTGTGTGTGTGTGTGTGTGTGTGTGTGTGTGTGTGTGTGTGTGTGTGTGTGTGTGTGTGTGTGTGTGTGTGTGTGTGTGTGTGTGTGTGTGTGTGTGTGTGTGTGTGTGTGTGTGTGTGTGTGTGTGTGTGTGTGTGTGTGTGTGTGTGTGTGTGTGTGTGTGTGTGTGTGTGTGTGTGTGTGTGTGTGTGTGTGTGTGTGTGTGTGTGTGTGTGTGTGTGTGTGTGTGTGTGTGTGTGTGTGTGTGTGTGTGTGTGTGTGTGTGTGTGTGTGTGTGTGTGTGTGTGTGTGTGTGTGTGTGTGTGTGTGTGTGTGTGTGTGTGTGTGTGTGTGTGTGTGTGTGTGTGTGTGTGTGTGTGTGTGTGTGTGTGTGTGTGTGTGTGTGTGTGTGTGTGTGTGTGTGTGTGTGTGTGTGTGTGTGTGTGTGTGTGTGTGTGTGTGTGTGTGTGTGTGTGTGTGTGTGTGTGTGTGTGTGTGTGTGTGTGTGTGTGTGTGTGTGTGTGTGTGTGTGTGTGTGTGTGTGTGTGTGTGTGTGTGTGTGTGTGTGTGTGTGTGTGTGTGTGTGTGTGTGTGTGTGTGTGTGTGTGTGTGTGTGTGTGTGTGTGTGTGTGTGTGTGTGTGTGTGTGTGTGTGTGTGTGTGTGTGTGTGTGTGTGTGTGTGTGTGTGTGTGTGTGTGTGTGTGTGTGTGTGTGTGTGTGTGTGTGTGTGTGTGTGTGTGTGTGTGTGTGTGTGTGTGTGTGTGTGTGTGTGTGTGTGTGTGTGTGTGTGTGTGTGTGTGTGTGTGTGTGTGTGTGTGTGTGTGTGTGTGTGTGTGTGTGTGTGTGTGTGTGTGTGTGTGTGTGTGTGTGTGTGTGTGTGTGTGTGTGTGTGTGTGTGTGTGTGTGTGTGTGTGTGTGTGTGTGTGTGTGTGTGTGTGTGTGTGTGTGTGTGTGTGTGTGTGTGTGTGTGTGTGTGTGTGTGTGTGTGTGTGTGTGTGTGTGTGTGTGTGTGTGTGTGTGTGTGTGTGTGTGTGTGTGTGTGTGTGTGTGTGTGTGTGTGTGTGTGTGTGTGTGTGTGTGTGTGTGTGTGTGTGTGTGTGTGTGTGTGTGTGTGTGTGTGTGTGTGTGTGTGTGTGTGTGTGTGTGTGTGTGTGTGTGTGTGTGTGTGTGTGTGTGTGTGTGTGTGTGTGTGT